TCTGTGTGGATGGAGTGTGGGTCATAAAGTGTGGGTGTGTCTGTGTGCTCTGTTCTCGCTCTCAGGATATCTCAGGAACGCCTCGAAGGAATTTCTTCAAATGTGCCAGAGACGTCCGTCGGACTGAAAGAGGAACTGACTAGAATGGAATGTGGTCAAAGGTCACTGTGACCTACAAAGACACGTTTTAGCCATTATTCAAGAATTCATAAGACTATTTGAATTATGACAATTTCCCTCAAATGTCTAAAAGCGTAAAATGATGATGTGATGACAGTTTGGACAGACGTGGATATGAACTGTGTGAGGCGGTAATTGTAGTCTGTACATAACCACCACATGTTTATGTCTTTGTTGTCTGGGTTCGTTCACCCAAATGACTTTCAAAAACGCATCTTTAAGTGTTGTTTGTACTCTCGCTCGGAGCCGTAGCGTGAGCCTCCGCAAACGGCACTCGAGCGTGAACGTTTATACTCTACGCTGCATTATTCTCCAAAACTCCAGAGGACACAACGAACTGTGAAGAATCAAAAAGATGCCCATAGACTGCAAGTGTAACTGGCTAAACGCCATAAACCAACCTCCACTATGATGAAGAGGGATTGTAATTATCTGTAAACTCATATCTCATACTCATGGACTACGTTATACAAGAACTGTAAAGAAGTATTGCATGCATGATAAAGAAACAAAGGTTTAATATCCTGTAAACTATTTGATTTGGCTGCAAAATATTTACTGACATGTAGATATTTAAGACCTCCTGTTTCTGAAGCATCTACAAGTGGATTAGCCTTCTCTGTATAATCCCTACACGTGTAACGAGTGTTTTATCAGTGAACTACTGGTGACAGTCACGTGATGGCGTGCGCCGCCAGCCAAGTTACAAAAATTCCAAGTTGCACGACCAAGCGCCATCACCATGTTCCCAGATCTCAGCAATAAAGCTGGTGAGGACACAATGTTTTCACGACCAATAGGAATGACGGCCAAATTCTAAAAACCAAAATGACCCTTAAATTACTCTCTTACAATCTAGCAGGCCTTGACCTGGTTGAGTTTGAGTGCCGATCAAAGGATGGCGGATGAATGTAAAATGGGAGTCTCACCAGTTGTGGGTCGATCTCCCCCACCGAGCGGCTCTGCACAGCCTCCAGCAGCTCCTCCAGCTCGCTGAACGACAGCTTCGTCAGCTTCAGTTTGTCCAGGGCCAGGTGCTCCCCGTGGAACAGCCTCCTCCACAGGTTGTCCCTGCGGCAGTGACCCATGGCCTGCTCCACGCTGGCCTGGATCTGTCTGCGGGCCGACAGCACCTCGTTGTTGAGCAGGGGGAACAGAGGGGAGGAGTAGAGCAGCCCTCGAGTCTCTTGTCCGCCACCCGCCAGAGGGTAAAACTCATTGCCGTCGCTCGGAGCCAAGGAGGCTGCGGCTTCGGACGACGTTTCCTCCCAGAGGTCCTGCTCTGCACCGCGCGACCCGCAGGCCTCTGCCCGATCGGGGGGGAGCCGGCCGCTCAGCTCACCGGGATCACGGTGGATCTGAGGAAGCTTCTTGAAACGGCGCATGTCAGCAGTGAGGCGGGGGAAGAGCTCCCTCTGACTGGTCATGATCACATAGAACCGCAACCTACGCATAAAGGAATAGGACAATTTATAGGACATTCATTTCAATTCAATATGCTCCTTGAGATCAGATCTGGACCGACATTACCATGGATATATCTGAATAAAGTAATTCATGTGTATGGTATTAGGTATTAGAGGCTGATACCTATGATGCTATTTGAGAGTCAATACCAAATATAGTGAATTTAAACATAGGAAACCAATTTAAGGATCCCCGATGTTCAAAGAGCAATGACCAAATGAGTATTCAAGGTAAAGCCGAAAAAACAAGGGTCTTGCGCTGCACATTAGTCGGCGCACTATTTACAGTTCAGAAACTTCCCGTGGCGTTTATCTAAACATGCTAGCTGCATCTGCATGCTTTTATTCTATTAGCTTTTGTTTTTGTCTGGTGTTCATATGACTTTTTAATGTACAGTTCTGAAAATTCAGCCCTGGTTCAGTAAACCAGTGGGCCTGCAAGGCCTTCTCTGCTGGCCTAAACAGAATCACAATGTTATAGCTATTTTATAACTTAAGAATTTTTCTTAAATACACTACATGTATTATAATTTATAAAAAAATATTTTCCCCATTATCTTATTTTCTCATTGCACAGCTGTCTTCCTCAGTTGCTCTGCTTCCAGTGCAGCTTGTTTTAAGTAGAGCTTTTATCCAATCAGATTTCACCTCTGTGTCTCTAGGTAAGAACAGAGGCCCGAGGCCTGCAGACTCTCAAGTGAATCCATGTGCAGTTTAAGTGAATGGGGACGATGTTGTTGATTGTCATAGTCTTCAACCAATCAGATCTTTAGTTTGACATGTTGGGTGTATTCTTTGACGTGTCAGAGCCTGCTAGCTGGCCTACAAGTACGTCAGCATTACGTGCTTGTAGGCCATGTGCAGCTCTGCAGTGAGGTGCAGCGTGTGCTGTGATTGGTCAGCGGGCGAGCACGTGACTAGCGTGAAACGAAACTTAAAGTAGCCATCAGAGCTTAGTCGGAGTTCAAATTGAAAGATATGGAAGAAATTATGACATTTTTTGCATTTTGCTTGGTGTAGATTATTATATTTTTACCTAGCTTTGTTTTTTTAACACTCAATGGCTGAAGGAGGAGAAACAGATTTGTGAGTTGGGATTTAACCGTGGGATTAAACTCTTAGTCAACAAAGAAAGGAGGATGGAGTTTGTCTTTAAGTCAACTGCGTTTGTTTTTTTACATCTAGTATCTGAATGGCCCTCCAGTGTGTAGCAGAATGCGTGTTGCTGCAGTGTTGCTGGATTGATTTGTTGCTCTGTTGTCATATGAATATATGCGACTGGTTCTTGTGAGTTTGTTCTTGTCGTTGTGTTAATTATATAGATTTGGACTTTATGCATTGTCCGTTACTTACGAAGCATACCGTCATGCGCAGAGTTATTGTTTGTTTTAAGCTAGTTTAGCGTAGCCTCTCAGAAGTGCGGTAACTCAGCTGTTTTTTGTTTTAGTTTATTTTGTTCCGGGTTCAAAGGTCACATAGCCCGTTGTCTCCTACGTGAGCGCAGTCCACAGAAAACATTATATTTCCCACAATTTAAGCTTCTGCATTTTCCAAATGCACTAGTATTAGTCAAACGTATTGTTCGGTTCGTAAGCCTCGTACCGAACGGCTTAATACGAATACGTGTATTGTTAAACTCCTAAAAAAAAATAATAACCGTAGCTTGCGCATCATCATGAGGTCATTAGTAGATGTTCCAGCTGCAGGACAGCACTGAAGGCCCAGGTATGAAATGCACGGCCCGCCACTGGAATAGCAACTTATTAATATTATATTCCAATTCTGCCAATAGATCCCTCTAAAATGCTACACATTGGATTTTTTAAGTTTAATGTTTTGACTAATTTATTTTTCAGCTGTAAAATGTTCTATTCAAGTGACATTCTTTACTACCTTAACATATGTTTATGAAAAATAAAATGTTGCCATTATGCGTTTCCATAAAAATAATCTGAACGATATCTAGCAGAGAAATGTATAAAACTCAAATATAGACATCGACCTCAAAATCCAGTATCATTCAGCCTCTACTTTAGATGATCAATATGGACAATAGATAAACAACAGAACTAGGGTTGCTATGAGCAATTCCTTTCATAGTCAAGTCACTATTTATTTCAATTAATCAATTCATATATACAATTTCAGAAAAAACTAACTGAGGTGATATGCTTTTGCTTCTCTGGCTCACACCTAAAAGAAGGTTTCTTCTTTTATCTGTTGGTTCATGTCACTTTACCTCAACAGATGCCTCTCCCCATCCGACTGTTCTTCAAATGGAGCAGCATTGTGGCACACCACCAGGGACACGTCAAAGTCATCATGGTGGTGCAGGCCCTCCAGATCCTTGTAGGAACCCGAGCTAAAGCCAGGAGGAGGAGAGGATAGAGAAGGTTGAAGTGAAGCCGTTTAGTAATGAGAATATACAGTACATGTGTACTGTGATTGGGATGTATTTCTACCTGTTCCACAGAGCCACTAGTGCATACTCGTGCAGGTCAGGCGTCCCTTTCTTGTTGTCTGTGGCGACGGCAGCCTTGGACATGCGGAGCGGTTTCATGCCGTAGGTGCTGGCGTGGTCAGTGATGTAGTTGTAGAGCTGATGAGCTGTTATCATCCCCGTGGAGATGGAGAAGCTCCCTGATGGACACAAGGTCAGAGAATCTTATGAAGACAATCAGGATTGCGTTCAAGTGAATCTTTTAAAAGAGCTCCTGCTCAGACTGAAGCAGCAGTGATGCATAAACACGTCATGAAAGGAAAACAATAAAAGCAGTTTGTCATCTGTTTTTCTGTGGCAGTGAAACCATTTGAAAGATTGTATTTTGGCCAGCAGTGAGCTGTGGGGCGAGCTTGAGGACATGCCAGACATGCAGGGTGGATAATACCTGCACTCAGACACACACCTTGAGGCAAATACCAAAGTACAATATAGCTGCAAATGGCCATTCTGGGTTCACAACCCTTTTCTGCTCAACAGAAAGAAGCAGCTCAATTGCCAGCGAGTTTTGGGCAAAGCTGAGCAAACCCCCTCAGCTGGTTTAGTTCTGTGTACAGAAGGTCACTTATTGCACACTCAAAGTCCCCTCAGTCATATTTCTTGACATTAAGGTGTTGTGTTTCAACAGCCTAATGAAAAATATCCAGCGAGTTTGGTGATGTTTGGACAAACTGTGATTGATTTATGGCCATGATTGCGCCGGGCCCATGCACAAGTTTAAACCTGGTGGCGCCCCATATTGAGTGATTTCAAAATAGTGGTTCACATGTGGTTCAACATCGTCACGAGACATATCCTGCAAGTTTCGTGATGAATGGCCCAACGGTTGTTGACTTTGGTCTAGTTATGTTTGTCCTTATGAAGGTTATTGGTCAATCTCTTAAAAACAAAACGTGATACTAGCAAGCTTTTGACAGCTTTTCATACAATTGGTCCAGTAGTTATCCACAGAAAATGTAGTTGCAATCGGATGTAAGATTTAGGAGGAAATGTCAAAAATGTATTTTTCAGAAAATGGCGTCAAAAATTGTCTGGCAGACTTATATTGTTCAAGAGGCTATTTGTAGAGCACGTTGAGGTGGACATGTCTGTCCAATTTCAAGGCAATTAGACTTATGGTTTGATGGGCGTGGCCTCGCTCTGTTGTTAGCGTTAATCAAAGCGCTGCCGTGCGGCCAACGGGAGTCTAACTTCTTAGGAAGCACTTAAACATCATTTCCAGTTACTGAGCCAACTTTCATGTTTCTAATTTGTTCCAGCTCGTGAGAATTTGAGCCGCCCCTTTGGGGCTCGAATGCTAATAAAAGTAAAATAAAGAAGTGGAATTAGTCCACCAACAGACATCAAACAGGAGATTTTGGCTTTTTAAGTAAAACTGTTGTTTGTGGTGTACCCCGTTGTGAATGTGGAAGTACCATGTATGTTCTCCAACGGTTAAAGAGAAACTTTGCATCAAATGATGTCTGCAGGAAAAGCAAAGCTGTACTGTTAAAGCACACCCATGATGTTACATGATGTTGGTGTTACTCTTTCAGTACCGTTACTAACCTCTACTGCTAGATATCAACCATAAATACTGTGTGGGTACTTACCGAAATGTGTCCACGTGTTAAGCATTTAAAGTTGTCCCCACTGGGTCCGATTCATAGGCCTGTTTATGTATTATTACTTAATCAGATAGTTCTCGATATAAATCTGCAAACTTCTTAAATGAATGCTGATGAATTGAACATATATTTTGTTTAATAAACTAAGGGGTGACAGCATGTATACATCCCCCAATTTAAAAGTACTGCTTTGGCGTCTGTGCCATTTTGAGCCGGACCTTCTTTCCTCTCCGTCACTACCGCTGACATTTTGTTTTTGAGCAAACAATCCCAAACTAAATGTTACTTCTAAGCATCAGCAAGATACAGTAGTCGCAGGTAGAATAGAATTATAATAACCACTACTGGGATACTGACGGATGGAGTAACAGCCTGAGGCTTACAGTAGCTTTGAATGCATTGTGAAGGCAATTTGCATATTTGTTGCACCACTTAAGCCTAATCCAACCAAGACTCTTGGTCCACTGTGAGTTAATCACAAGGTATTCCGATGGAGTCACACAGTTTGCTCTTTCCATTTAAATATGACTTTACACCTGAGTCACCTTGGAAGACGTGGTTGCGGCCAAACTTGGGAATGTCTGGGTGATGGGAGATGAAGTCGTCCAGGAAGTCGGTGAGCTGGTAGCCCTGGCGCAGCGTCATGTGGCAGCCGACCAGGTACTGGTGGACCACTCGCAGGTGGAAGTCGTAGCTGAAGGAGTGAACGTGCATCAGGTCCCGCACCTTGTCGCACTCCTCGGTGAAGAGCATGGAGAGCTAAAGACAGAGGGGTGGACACAGTCATCACCGGCACAGAGCGACTAGCGGAAAGTCACGGGGCTAAAGAAGTCACAGCAAAACAAGTGTCTTGATAAGTCTGGCCGTTTTCATTACACAGATTGCTGGGAGTGAATAGCATCTCTGACCGGTTATCTGTGTAATCATCCACAAGTGAACCTGCTTTGCATTTGAAGGAGTACAACCTGCCATTCCAGCTGCAGCCGGCCCCGAAAGCTTTGTGCGGTGCACCTTAAAGCCCTGCTGCTCCCATTGCTTCTTGGCCAGAGCCTTTTGTAAGCAACTTTGATATCAATCGCATTCACAATAGCATCTTATTTAATTAAATCTGACATCAAAAGGGGGCTGACAAAAGCATTAATTGCAAATGTGAATGGCTGCAGAGAGAGGCCGCAGTGTGCAGTTAATTACAGCACAATGAGAGTTTACGGGGAGGGCTGAATGCTCCTGCTGCGTTTACTTTCATCTGGACCATTTGCCTGGAACCTTTACAAACAGGCGTTATCAAATCAAAGAGGCGAGAAAACCTGCTCGGCTCTCTTTAGCGAGGGAAAACCTTCAACTGTGGGACCTCGCGGCACCTTTTCCCCGTCTCAATGCTTGTTCACAAACTAGCACAAGGGCGGGACACGTTCAGCATCATCACCGGCCTCATCCGCAGAGATGACACAGAAGAATATTCTTTTGGCACAGTGGAATGAAAAAGACAAACATTAACATGTCTCTTCCCGGAGGTGTTCCCCGCAGTCTGGCAGACTAATTAAGTGTGACCTCTTCGCCTGCTGTCGATGGAGCCAGGAGGCCATTGGGACGACAAAAAGCTCTTCAGCTCAGAGGTAGCACATTTCCTGCGTGCGTCCTCTCCACTGTCAAGCCAACATTTATTATTTCCTAACCTGTAATCCCAAACGGTTCATGTTCTAGCTAATTAAACACCCCGTGTAACAAATAGTCAGGTTGAGTCGTCGGGGCTGCAGCTCGTCTCCCGTCAGCCTCTCTCTCTCTCAGCGGAGGTGAACTTAATGACAGCGGCTACATTGATGGTAGGAGCTGTAATCAGTCTGGGTCATACAAGAAGAAGAGAATACAGAAAGCATGTTGATTGAAACAAAAAAAAAAAAAAAGAGCAGACAAGAGGAGTCATGATAGGAAAGCTTCATAATGGTGACATCCATTGACATCTTCTGTCCTGGAAAACAGAGATAATTAAACATGTATGTTATACAAACACTGCCATTTTGGTGGACAGTAAGGTATTTTACAAATGGGTAGCTAGTACAGTGATTTGACAAACGTTCTTGGATATAAATTCTTTCATTGTTCTCCATCTTTAACGTGGTAGTATTAGATCCATCTTTAACGTGGTAGTATTAGATCCGTCTTTAACGTGGTAGTATTAGATCCGTCTTTAACGAGGTAGAATAGATCCGTCTTTAACGAGGTAGTATAGATCCGTCTTTAACGTGGTAGTATAGATCCGTCTTTAACGTGGTAGTATAGATCTCTCTTTAACGTGGTAGTATAGATCTCTCTTTAACGTGGTAGTATAGATCTCTCTTTAACGTGGTAGTATAGATCCGTCTTTAACGTGGTAGTATAGATCCATCTTTAACGTGGTAGTATAGATCCATCTTTAACGTGGTAGTATAGATCTCTCTTTAACGTGGTAGTATAGATCTCTCTTTAACGTGGTAGTATAGATCCATCTTTAACGTGGTAGTATTAGATCCATCTTTAACGTGGTAGTATAGATTCATCTTTAACGTGGTAGTATAGATCCATCTTTAACGTGGTAGTATAGATCTCTCTTTAACGTGGTAGTATAGATCTCTCTTTAACGTGGTAGTATAGATCTCTCTTTAACGTGGTAGTATAGATCCGTCTTTAACGTGGTAGTATAGATCCATCTTTAACGTGGTAGTATAGAT